GCTGAACTCGACTAAGTTACTTAGACTCTCCAGTTCAAAGCTCCCAGGTGAAACCAGTAGTGTTTCAGTGGCCTTGAGAAAGTTTTGCATATGGGCTCTTATCACTTTTGCTTCTCTCTGCTGCCTGCAAATTAGAGCCAGAACACTCTTACTTGCATGGCAGATAAACCAATCAATGCTCCCAATGAGCTAAAACACTCTGGTGACAACAAAAATGGTAAGGCGTGCTTGCTTCACATGATAAAAGACCAGGAGTAAAACATCATTACCTTAGAGATCTGGACAATGCGATCAATCTCTGAATCAGCCATTTCTGAGATACAGTTCGCTACATCGATATACATCTCCAGTTCGCCCCTCTGGAAACGGAAAAGTAAATGCATGTTTAGATGTATACTTCCAGGTTTCTTCATCATTAAAATTGGTGAGTCCAGGAACTTTGTTAATGATCAGATGAATATTTAATCTAGTCTCTAGCCTCGTTTTATTTATTCTATTTTAGAAATTCTGTATTTGCTAGGAACTTCAATGTACTTAATTATTACGGAATAATGCTAATCTGAAAAACTTTTGAAGATTTTTTTTGTTGGTTTTTTTTGTTTGGTTTTTTTTTTTTAAGATGGAAAAGTGTCCTTCCTTGGAGATATTTTCTGTAGCTAGATAGTTTCTTTAAATCCTTGTGAGAAGCTGAATCTTCTGTGGGGAAAAAAAAAAACCCCTTATGATTGTTCTCTGCTTCTGTTTCAGTAACATTTATTTTAGTACTAATACTGTATCTTTCCATTACCAAATCATTTATGAGGGAAAAGTGCACATTAAAGTGGTTTCAGAACTTAGTCATATTATAAAGAATATCTGAAAGTAACTTAAAGTGAAATTATGCACACATCTTAACTACTATCGCTAAAAATTTTACCTCTACTTCGTGTTTCAAATTTCATGGGGCAGTGCAAAAAGATGGGACTTGCCATCACTACAAATTTGCAGTTACAATGTTCGTACACCTCACACTTATTCCTTACCAGAACCTCATTTGGTAGAAGCTCAAATATCTTCTCCACAGCCCGGCACAGAAAGCCCCAGCAATACTGGGCAGGGTTTGGAAGTTTCATTGCCTGCACGAGCCCTTGTAAAACACACTGGCAGATTTCTGGAGTTTTTGTGTGGTTCTTCACTTCAAATTGTTGTATCAGAAACACTTCTGTAAAAGACTGTAATTTGTCTTCTGCAACATGTTTCATCCACAGGGGCAGGGACATGAAAAGGTATTTCTGGGTTTTAATCTGAAAAACAAAAACGTTTGCTTAGTTCCAGATTCTAGATCTTCACTGACCTTCAACTATTGTTATAAAGGATAAAATTACAAAAAAAAGTGGCTCAAACACCACTTGAAAAAGCACTCAAAGTCATAAATACTTCCCAATTCTTCTGTCTTCTTTTGATAAATTGTTTGAATTAAAAAGAGTTCAAACACGTCAATATTCTATTTTCCTTAAAAAGTGAGGAACTTTCTTTCAATTAAACCTAGGTATTATGTCTCTGTACTGGCAGGACAATTGCGATTGTGCCCACTGCATTTGTACATAAAGCATACAGACTAACTAGACAGCCAAGGACAGAAGCATGGTAAACCTAGCACCATTAATATTGCTAGCTAGTGAGCAAGAATGAATAATTACCTTGAAAGAATCCAAAGCTTACATACTCTGTGGCTGAGCTCATTTTGTGACCTCAAATCCCCACTGCAGTGAGAAACTGGTGCTCGGAAGCAAAATCTTTCTTTTTTTTGGTACCTTACCAATTATGTATCTTAAAATTGCCAAGTGTTTATATATCTGTGAAGACTAATGAATTAAAAATTACAAAACAAAAATACCCCTTGAAGAACTGGAAAAGATCACAGAAATGCGCAACGAATTTTCTGAGAACTGTCACGAAGCTGCCTCTCAACTTGTATAAACTGACAGAACTGCAGAGTCAAGTGCACTGTGGGATTCAGGGAGTTTTACATACTGTATTGTCCTGGTTTCAGCTGGGATGGAGTTAATTTTCTTCCTAGTAGCTAATATAGTGCTGTGTTTTGGATTTAGGATGAGAAGAATGTTGATAACACACTGATGTTTTTAGTTGTTGCTAAGTACTGCTTAAGCTAGTCAAGGACTTTTCAGCTTCCCATGCTCTGCCAGGTGCACAAGAAGCCGGAAGGGAACACAGACAGGAGAGCTGACCCAAAGTGGCCAAAGGCCTATTCCATACCATATGATGTCATGCTCAGTATATAAACTGGGGGGGCGGTTGGCCAGGGGCCAGAGATCGCTGCTCAGAAACTGTCTGGGTATCGATCGGCAGGTGGTGAGCAATTGCACTGTGCATCACTTGCTTTGTATATTCTTTTATCTTTATTATTATTATTATTTTCTCTTTGTCTGCTGTCCTATTAAACTGCCTTTATGTCAGTGCACAGGTTTTACTTTTTTTCTTCCCCCTAATTCTCTCCCCCATCCCACTGGGCAGGGGGACGAGTGAGTGAGCAGCTATGTGGTGCTTAGTTGCTGACTGGGACTCCATGATACATGTCATGGTTCAACCCATGTTGTACTTTTGTAAGAAGAACTCCACTGTAGTGGAGGATAAGCCCAAATTTAGGGGCTAACAGACAGGTTAGTCTGTTGACTATCTACAGAATTAAGGCAAGGTTTTCAAGAAGTAACATGTTTTACTAGATCAAGAGACACTGCTGGAAGAAGCAGGCAAGCTTTCGGACAGAGAGGTAGGACTTTTTTCTAAGACTATCAGCTGGTATAATAAGATACTTTTTCTCCCTACATGCCATGCCTTCTTACATCTCTAGGTTATCAGAGGTATAGCATGAAACAAGACAGAGGAAAAAGGTCTTAAGCAATTTAAGTAAAACCAGTGTAGCAGATCTTAAGTCTGCCTTGAATTTCAAGGCCCCAGAATAACCTTTCTCTCACTATAAATATCTGCTAAACATATTTCAGAATTCTGAACCCAGTAATCCTTTTCTGGTGAGACATCCTAAACATCATCACTGAGGAATCTTACAGGAAAGAGGTGCTGAGGTCCCACAAATTTTCTGACATACGTACGCTGAGACTATAGACAAGGGGAGGTGCCACCCACATCCCCAAAAGCATTGCTGCATTTTGAGATGACTGGGCCTGTGTCACAGCCAGCTGAAGGCAGAGATGTTTTACTTCATCACCTAAAGCAGAAGAAAACAGAAGTTAGGAAGAAATTATTTTTACTTTAAATTTGTTCTCAACTCATAAAATAAAGGAGAGTTATTGTTCCAGTAGAGCACTACATTAAAATTTGCTTTTCTAGAGATGCTGCTTAAAGCTTTTAACACATACATGTTAGAAGTCTCCTTCTCCCATTCACGCACTTTCAGGAAGAAATCTCAGGATTTGTCCAAGTTTTCAAAGAATAAAAATGTGGTAATGGTTAGTAAAAGTAAGAACTAAAAAACTCCTTGCGAAATAAAGAGAAGATTAATCTACAGAAGGAGAAATGAGTCAATACTCCTTCCTGCTACCTGTAGGAGTAATTAGCATTTATTTGTTCACATGCTTCTACTCTTCCATGTACCCCATGTTCATATAATATGTCACAGAACAGAGGTTAGTCACTGTTACTGCTGTGGGTGCTAGGTTGCAGCATTCTCCAGGTTAATGCATGGGAAGACCTTACTGTGCACAGGTTATGAAATCCTTATTGGTTTCTCTTTAAAGTCCCCTTAATGACTAGTACAGCCTGTTTCTTAACGGAATAACTAGTCATAAATATGTTGAAGAGGTACTTTGAGCAATGGTACGGCTTCCGAATAGTTCATGCTTGCTACAGCAATATAAGGACAAACAATTTAAGTATTAAACTAGCATTTGATCCATTAGACAGAAGATACATTACTGTTAAATGTCAGCATAAAACTTAAATAGGTGCTTTGCAAGTTAAAATGTTCTTTCAGTAATGAAAGAGGCAATCTATATAGCATGACTTTTATAAAAGTTCACTAACATTAGTGCATGAACAAAGCAAAGATTTGAGAGTCTAGTACCAGGCTCTTTGAAATAAGATATCTTATACAAGAAGTTAAGTCATTTGCAGAACTCAGAAAGGGTAAAATTGTTACAAGATACTTTGGTAGCCAATTCCAAAATTGTCTGTCACTAGCTTGGACTGCTAAGACACAGATTATGATTTGCCTATGACTGTTCACTTCAGAGCACTACTGAATAACAAACAGGTATTACTTCAGTCACGATATACAGTTTCTGCTCAGCAACAACTGCAATAAACCGTGCAAGATGGGGAAGCAATTTGTTGTCTTCAATACGTTTACAGATGAACAAATCTTCACAGTAGAATCTGTGAAACATTTAAGGTTTATAAAAAAAGTAATGAATTCTCAGACATGAATAACAGTGACCTAGAGAAACTGAGAGAATTGAGAATACAGTCTAATTTTCATAAAAATATTCATGACATAGCTGTTCCAGAAAAAGTGTGTCAGAGTGCCACATTTCTAGGTGGACTGTTAGGTCATAATACAACTGTTCTGCATTATGCTTTCTATCACAACATGAATATTGCTCATTAGCACACAGCAAGACCTATTTCTGCACGTATATATAATCTTGAGAAGGGTGTGCAACTTCCACAACACTATAGAGGGACAGTCAAGAGAAACGATGTATAAAAATGTAGACTGTGATGCTGTCTGAAGTCAATAAAAACATAGCTACAAAACCAATGTACTGTTTCCTCTGGAATTCCCCTGATATACAAAAGTAAGACCCCTAAGTGAAAAACAGGAATAAAAAAATCCCCCCTACATTTAACAAGTTTCAGCTATTCATAAGGCACACAAATTTGCATCAGCATGGACTGCAAAGCTCAGTATAGGAAATTCTTTCACTTATTCTTACAAAAGACTTTACAATCAATTGCAAGAATACCAAGTACAACAGAAGTTGGAGCTCAAGTATAAGCAAAAGTGTTTAATATATAGCCAAATCTTTCTGTATCTAGCAAGCAGTTGTTCCTCATAGGACAGTTCAATGATTTCTAGTGCTTATACAAGCACTCTGTATAAGTAAAATAAACACCAGAAAGAAATAAGAACAACCTTCCATATTCTAGGCTCTACAGCACATTAATTTAAACACAACAGCACTTGCCCAACCCAGTTGTAAAAGAATCTGTGGGGCCAGTAATAACAGTTACATAAATCAGGAGAAACAAAACCCAGCAGAATCAAACAAGGGAATACGGAACTTCGCACAGCAGTTTGTTGGGGTTTTTTTTGTTTTAAGGAAATGAGTTTCAAACTCAAGACACAACCAAAACAGGCATTGACAGATATCCCGAGTAGAAAAATATTATACCAGCTGTCCAACACAATACTTCAAGATCAAAGCCACTCTCCAGCATGAGGGAAAAATGCTCTTAGAAGCACTGACAAAATCAGGATCATGATGGAAAAAGGCATATGCTTTCCTCTGTCACCCAGTGTAATTTAGTAGAAAGTGTATTTCAGACTAGTGATAGCTAGATTAACTACAGAGCAATTCAAACTTGTGATAAAGCTGCCTGCAGCCTCTGACACAGGTACCTGACCAGCATTTAGTGGGTACTGAAAATAAGAAACAATTAGTCGAGTTTCATGATGGAGTCTTCTTATTGTAAATGGTTCAAATGAAAAATTTGGTCCAATTCCACCAGTGTTTTAGAGAACTTCCAATACTGCTCCAAACCTCTCAGCTCTGATCTTCTCTAGACTTTTCTTGAGTTAAAACAAACTGTGCCCACATGGTGATCACAAATATATGCTTGTAAACATTACAAAGCTGGTCTTGAAAGCAGAGTAAACACTTCAATCCCTGCAATAACTTCAAGCCCCGAAGTAGGCTCTAAAGTTTGTGAAAGCTGCGTTACTAAAGAAATCTTGTGACAAGTACAAAAGACGTAATAGAAGACTATTAATCTTACCAAAGTTTAGCCTCATCAAAGGAGAAAGGATGGATGCCCAATTTACAGGTGGATACTGATGGCTTTCTCCAACTAATGCAATAGGTGCCAGTGCTACTTTCACCAGGTCAGTTGGGACAGATTCAGGGCCTACAACAGAAGATTCAATCACAGTCTGAATTTTATACACACACATTTGGCTGAACAGCTCAGGAAAAAAATGTGAACACTGCACTGAAGACCAATCTGTAGTGAAGAACTGAAAAGTATTATAAAATTACTGTATTTCGTTTTGTATCTCTTGTTTGTAATTAGCTATCTCTTGTTTGTAGGCAACAGTTGTATTTTTAACATTAATGTCCTATCAAAAAAGGCTTTTTGTTACTGATAAATACAAACTTTCTGGTTCCTTCTCTTTGAACGAAGTTATGAGTTAATTACAGATATTCCTCATCTAGTAGGGTAATATTTTTGCATTCGTTAGTAGGAGAACAACAAAGTTTTCCAACACTGCTCTCCTTCCCCATCCTGTAGGTGCAGGCCACAGAATGTTATTCAATTTTTTGTTTAGAAATTAAATATCCCACCTTAGTGAAGTTCAAATTAGTATTTAGAAAAGTTCTCTTCGCAAATAAAAGCAGGTTATTTGGGTCACCTTTTATAGTCGTAACAAATTTCTCAGACAGATGCTGTGGTTTCATCCCTTCTTACCTTTCTTTCCACTTTCAATGGCAAAGTCAATGGCTGCCCTGATAAAGCTGTTTTCAGGCAAGTAGCTAAAATCTGGAGGAACTGTGAAGACAAAAAGACTGTTTATATACTTAAAACATGCGAGCAGAAATTATAACCTCCAGCTCCCATATAAATTCAAAGGCCAAACTGAGCTACGTTTGAGCTAACTAATTCTGGAACTGACTCAAAGCATTTAGGCCGCAAGATTATTGATAGCTGCATTGGCCTTTCCACTTCTAAGGCAAGCTAAACATTATGTGGGTGAGAGGTGGTATGTCTGAAAACACAAATTCATTGACCAACTGAAAAGCCAGGGATAAGACCTTTGTTAAAATGTATCAGCCTCTGTGAGTCAGGCTTTAAAAGAGAGAGCTTCAAAAGCTTAGTAAGTTTAATACAACAGAGACATTCCATATCTAACCAACCTCAGGCACATTTGCCCAGATTATACAAAAGTAGAAACTCCAAGAATCTTTCTTCTGTGATGGGGAAGTTTATCTACACTTCATATTATTGGTTCCCAACTTGGTTCACACTGAAGTGAACAGCTTCCACTTCATTAGTTCCCTCCTATTACTGGTATTTCATCAATGGTGTAATCCTGCCTTTATTTTAGCAACGGATATTGAAACAACACCTGAAGGTAATGATGTATTGACAGAATATGAATTTCTGTGCTAACTGCTACAATGAAAGGGCACAGAACACTAGTTTTTGACTTCAGCTAACCAGGGAGGATTTCTTCTAGAAAAATACTTTTGAAAAGTCAGCTTGCTCTTGTTATGGACCAGTTTTTAAGTGTTGGCTTTTTTATACAGTGGAAAGTGCTAAAACAAAGAGTAGATTAATCAGTTCTCAGGGCATGGAGAGGATAATGTAGATGTCAAACACATGTGCCATATGCAGCAAACTTCTTTGCAATTTATTCTATAAAAGAATAAAGACAGAAGCAATATACAAGTTTGATCAGAACAACTTAGAACCTTACTTTGATTCTGCAAGTAAAAGCAGATCGGGGGGGGATCCCATTCAGCACACTAATTCCTGCTTCATTTCCAAGCTTTAGGTCTGGCACACAAGACCATAAGGTCTCTGATTCAAAGGCTGTCATGTCATTTAATAGGGCTGTAAAGTCTAGCCTGTATTGTCTAATGTGTCCCTTGCTGCCATTTTAGCTAGGTGCTACTTCTATACGTTCTTTAAGCAGCAATAATAAAGCATCTTACCGGATGCCCTGTTCTGGGTAGAAGACAAACAGGACATATGAAGGCGTCCCAAAAGTCCTGCTGCATTCGTCTGAAGGCCAATCTGCCCTGAAAAACTGATTATCTGTTGAGACAATAAACCACTAGTTAGACAAATTTCCCTTTGTTGCCTCATTGAGGCTGGACACAGCCATTATGCAGTTTCTTTAAACAGATTTGGCCTGTTTGTGCAAGGTGTCACAGTACCCTACTGCATTGTCCAAAGCAGGAAACAGAGGCTACCTTCTTACCTGTGTGAGGGTTCTGATGACTTCATTCAGCTTACTTTGAAACTGAGAGGACTGAATGCTCTCAGATTTCAGCTGCCAAAGGAAAAAAAAAAATGTTAATTTTATAAGGGGAAAAAAAAAAACCAAAACAGAGAACAGGTGCTGAAAAGACAGATTACATTTGCACACATCTTTTTGGGGGGCAGTGGCGGAGAAAAGGAGAAAGCCTACATGGCTGTATGCTTTTCCCCAATCGCACTGCACATGGACCATATGGTGGGAAAATGGAACAGACCCCATTTTACACACTGTAATTCTATCCTGCTTGGTTTATACCTAACACAACTCACTGTTCCATAAATGGGATGCCCTGGTATATAACCACTGTTGTAAGGGTGCACAAGATGTCATTCCATCTTGCCTTCTAGTCAAATTTCTAGAAGAGATAAAGAGACCATTTGCTTGCATGTTCTCACCTGTATCATGCCTCCTTCAGAGCCCACCAGTGCAACCAGCCCACTGACAGCAGCCAGACGCTGCATTGTTGGAGAACCCTGGAAGCGTAATTCATTGTCAGTGAGTCAATGCGGTCACACAACACTACTGTAGGACAAAACACTTGTTTCTTCCAACTTAAAAACCCTGACTGCTATCACTTGTACACCTCTTACCCAACAACCTTTTCAGGTCAGACTCCAGCATGCTGAGTAATTATTCATCCCTCTTTTGGTGAATAAATGCTTTATATGGAGCTTCCTCCTGCCCCCCCCCGCCCAATCTGAAATCATCATGCATTTCTCTCTGACAAATCACTTTCTTCTAGCACGGTCTGTATTCCACAAAATATGTCAGTGTAATTCAATTCTGAAACAGTTTCTTTATTGATACTTACCTTTAGCTGCAATCTTAATGTGTAAGTTTGATTTCATATGCACTATTTTTGTTACAATGAGATAAATTAATATTATTATAACTGAGGCACTATAATCACTGTTAGTCTAATTTTGATAAGTAGCACCCAATTTCATAAGGCATCCTCATTTAATAACCTAGATTTTATCCTTGTTCCAAATTAGTAAAGATGTCTAAATTAAGATCTCATTGAGATAATCATTTCCCATAAATCATCCAAGCAGAAGAGAAACATTTTTCTTCCTTTAGCAAACAGCCCAAAGATATATATTTGCTTCCATATACAAATCAAACAGCATGTTCAGATAATCCTAACTTTTCCTAGCATCACTCCTGCAGAAGGAAGAAAATTATGTCCCTACGTTCATTTAAAATCACACCCAACCGCCTGCAAAAAACAAGATATGAATTCAAACTCCTTTACCTCTGCAAGCACAATTTTTATCCAGGCTGGTATTAGTCTGTTACTCAGGTCTTCGGCTTTCCCATGACCACAAGCTGACAATCCATGTACTATTGCACCTAGAGCTAAAGCAAAACCATGGGTCTGTAAGGTGAAAAAGACACATTAAAAACCTTCCAAAGGATTCTGTATTCTCTTTAATATTTAATATTGAAACATTACTTAAATATTTGTTATTTCCCAGTAATGAGAAGTAATGTCTTTTTCTAAAATACTGGATGCTTTCCTATTTCAAGCATTTTCTCATGTCAAATGACATAGGATTTTCTGAGATTAAATACTGATCTTTGGCACACAGATTGCTCTGGAGCCTTTATTTTAGAGCAGAGTTTCTGATACGAAGATAAAATCTGTAGCAAAGGTAGCTTGTTTTGACTTCCTGTTTTCCAGATAAACATTCTAAACAGTTGATTATCACAATAGCAGGCTTTGATTCAAAATGGTTGCTTCCCCCCCCCCTTCTTTCTGGCAAGCATTTAACAAAAAAGAACACGGACTGAAATACGGAGATTATTTCTGGCATTTTTAGAGGGTAAGCCTAGGACATTAGGGATGAAAAAGACACCTGGAGGAAGCTGTGGATGTAGTTATGATGCACTGTCTGGAGGCTAAGGGAAAGCAAAAATTCAAAAGAGCACAGTAGATGTATTTTCCTACCAAGAAAAGGAATCTAAAGAAACAGGTTATAAAAGATATAAAAATTGGCGGGACACAGGGACTAAAGACATGAAGAACTCAGAAGTACCAACTTCCGTTCTAAATGCAATCAAACATATAAAACCTGCTTTTATATCTCTGTCTGGTAATTGCTATCCACCTGTAGACAATGCATCAATGGATCAAGTGGTAGTCTTGGTAATTGCACGGTATGCACAACACGTTCAGTATTAGTTAATGTGGAAAGTAGATCAATATAATTTTCTTGAAGTTACCGTCTGGGTAAAGCAGTATCCAATATTAAATAGATAAGAGAAAAAAAAGAACTGAAGGAAAGCCCAGACAGTGAATTATGACCTGCTGATTATTTTCCACTAAGGACCGAAGCTTGTTCATGGCCTCCTCAGCCTCAGCTGCTTCTATGATTCCAGCACTGAAAGCAGAGACACAGGAACAGGCCACAGAGTAGGCAAGTACCTGAAAAAAAAAATGTTATTTAATTCTTTTAAACAGTGTCTGATCAAATTCACTGTTCCAATGTGTATATGGAGCAATGTGCCAGCATGATAAAAAAGCCATGACATTTTCAATTCATACTTTCAGATGTTTGTTCCCTCTCTGAAGGATTCTTCATTGATGCTAACATTAAACAAACACAACTAAAGCTTGGAAGTACTTCTGGTTTTACGTAGGTCAAACTCCTGATCTTCCACACAAATGTAGCTATTCTTCTCAACACAAGTATCTGATCATTATTTATGTGAGCATACACAGCATGCTGTGGTCCCATCACACAGTGCATGACACTAGCCTCATGTCCTTGCAGAATGATTCATAAACAACACTGCTTTTCTGTTCTTCAGCCTTAGACATGGACAATAAGGAAATGAAGTCTGAACTTTCAACAAGGCAACTGTGCCAACTGTTTAACCTCCTTTGTACCAAAGCTAAGCAACAGAACAACGCATGACTATAAGGGAAGTAGAGAGCTCCTGCCTACCGCGCAGGATTGACGACAATTTCACTTGGAGCAAGTAATGCTCAGACTGTACCTCAGGCTGCAGCCGGCCAAACTTACCTCTTGAGTACAGGATTATATCCCAGCCATTTACAGGTCTGAAAGAGCCTCTTGTGCATCTCAAATACAGTAGTATTGAACCTAGGGTGCTGGCCAAATTTTACTTATGTAATTATCAGTACAATTTCTTACAGAGATTTTAATTGAAACGGGTAGGTTTTGCTTCTCATCCCAAACTATCTGTCCTGGTTTCGGCTGGGATAGAGTTAATTTTCTTCCTAGTAGCAGGCATAGTGCTGTGTGACTTTTCAGCTTCCCATGCTCTGCCAGGTGCACAAGAAGCTGGGAGGGAACACAGACAGGAGAGCTGACCCAAACTGGCCAAAGGGCTATTCCATACCATATGATATCATGCTCAGTGTATAAACTGGGCAGGGGGGGTTGGCCGGGGAGCAGCGATCGCTGCTCGGAAACTGGCTGGGTATCAAGTCGGCAGGTAGTGAGCAATTGCATTGTGCATCACTTGCTTTGTATATTATTATTATTATCATCATTATTATATTGTTATTATTATCATTACCATTTTACTTTATTTCAATTATTAAACTGTTCTTATCTCAACCCAGGAGTTTTTCTCACTCTTACTCTGCTGATTCTCTCCCCCATCCCACTGGGGTAGGGGGAGTGAGGGAGCGGCTGCGTGGTGCTTAGTTGCTGGCTGGGGCTAAATCACGACACTATCTCATGATGTTAAACAGCTGCTGCCTTTCATCTCAGAAGCTGCTGTATTGAAACAGTTTAAGTTCAGTAAAGTACTTTTAGATCTCTAGGGACAGATAAATGATTTCATAGCTGTAAGTCATTTTAATGCATGAACCATGAACTGCAAAAGGCTAATGCCCAACATATATGTACTGCCAAAAAAATTAAACTCCATAAAAGAAGACCTTTAATAAAGAGCTTTCAGAGCAGTACCAAGAGGGGAAAGAGAACAATACTACCAATCTCTGCTTAAATCCCTTAGAAAAAACAGAGGATTATGCAACTCAGTTGTTCAGCTGCTGCAGGCTTACATACATCAGGCACAGGGTTGCTTTTTTTTTGTGGAAAACACCTGCTTATTCCAATTCTTGTTTTCGGTTGTAAAATCCAAGTTCATCAGTTATCCTCCAAGTTCACCAGTTTTCCTTCTCAAGTTTTACCTCAGCAAGGTTATAGACTTAGTGCATAGACCATGTCAAAACTTACAGGACATATCTTGGCAAAATAAACTGAAATGCATGCTCAAACTTAGCAGAGCTCAGTTTAAGTCTTCAAAATATGAAGAGAACAGCAAATGGGGCCATAGCAGCATTCACAAGCGCAAGATTCGCATTAGCTAGTGACGGGAGCTTTCAAAGAAGGAAACGGAACGCATATTGAAGGAGGAAGTATTAGCATTAAAGTTCTCTCAGAGTAACTTGCTGTCTGCTTTCTAGTAGAACAGATGAGCAGTAAACAACTGTACATAAGAGAGACCCATATCCACAGTTACTCAGGACCCAACTTTCAACAATTTAATCTGAGGTTAAGGAATTAAAGAAGCACTTTAAAGAATTATGTCTTTTATCTTTTCAGGCAGTTTCTTAAATGTTTGTGCAGCATTACAGGTTATTCTACTATTATAATTACTGTTTTCTTCAGCAGATATAAAACCATATACTGTGAAAGAAATAAGAGAAACCAAGCATTCTAGTACTACAGATACAAAGCTTCAGTAAAAAAGTCTATAGTTATCAAAGGGAGGCAACAAAGTAAAGGAAGATTTAAAATTTGCGATAAAATACGTCATACCTCCTGGACCCATCTGCTTTGGTCCTCACTGCTGTCCAGGTATTTGCAGAGTTTTCGCAATGAAGCTGAAACGTGCACTCGTGATTCTGTTTGGCTACTGTGACTCATAAGCGAAAGAACAAGTCCTACTCCCAAAATACATCCAGTACTTAAAGAGAAAACAAAAGAAAAAGGATTAAGTATGCTATGGCTGCTCTAAACTCTCTTTTCACCCCAACATGGGCTGCTGTGCAAAAAGACCTCTTGGCCTTGCCTGATAACTAGCACTGTGGATAATTACTTACTACAGTTAGTTTTACAAATGGCTTTTATTTCACATATAGGTGATGCTTTTCGGGAGACACAGGATGAAAGAAGAGCATAAGAAGAAAACGTGCATTTAAAATAATAAATCCTACAGCCTCATTATTTCTTCTGCCCCTGAAGAACCAACAGCCCCATCAACAAGCACATCAACTAGTATGAAGTAAGTATGGATCCAAACTTCTACATCTGATTTATACTGATATCCCAAACTCCAATATCCCAGTTAAACATACTAATTGCAGGTTCACTTGCTGTATTAGCATCTGTTGCTCTCAGACTCCTGCAAGAGGTGTTCCAGTTTGCAAAAATAACGACATTAGTGATTGAGCCAGAGAGCGGCTAAGATGGCTGTACAGATTAAGGTATTCACCTGCATTGCAGAACATAAGTGTCAGGTATACGTTCTAACCCATACGTACTAAAATACGCATACACAACAGTGGAACAGCTTCAACAGGGCAGACATATCCAGCACAACTAACAGTTTGATGCTGAGGATGTGTAAAATTGCAACAAGAACAGCATAGCTTCAAGGTACATAATATAATAAAACAGCTGGCATGAACAGCTTCATGGTCTTTGCCTCTTTTTCAGATTTGACCAGAAATTCCACTCTGGACCAGAGATCTTTTACTAAGTTCAGCACCTGTGCTCCCATAACAAGTTTCAGTTTCCACAGGTCATCAGTCATAACACTGAAAAGTTTTCTCAGAAAATTCCCAAACAGTTCTGGCTGCCATCATGAGATGCTAAAAGCACAGCACATACTCATTGCTCTGAAGGTAATCTCTCACTGGCACACATACACATAATAGCTTAAAGAAGGAGCTCTTATCTGAACGTGAAGATTTTTTTTCTCCTTGCGCATCTCTCCAAGCATACCAGTGACAGACACTGCATGTAGTGAGCAGTCAAACGAACACGGCTAGGACCTCAGGCATTCTTCTAAGCTTCTGCTATCGAACTTAAAAATGGAAAGAGTCACTGCTTTTACTCAGCTAAGTAAAAAAGAAACTTCTGAGAATAACTTCAGCCATATTTATAAGCTAATGTTCTTCAGCAACTGGGGATGGAGATAAGCATGGTTAGAAGACTCGGAGTGGTGTGTCCTGGCAGTGGTGCCTTTTTTCTTTTTTTTGCTTCTTCTGAAGCAAGAGTAAAACTTCATCCCCTCTGCTCCTCTTTTTGTAACTACCACCTTGTTTGTGACCTACATAAAATTAATATTTAAGTGCACTTCATCCACACAATATCTCAGATTTCCCAGCATGTTTTCAGTGTTTTACTACCAGTGCATCAGACAAACTGCACTACTGTCATGACTCATCTGCATACAGGGCAGTACAGTCCATCACATCACAGAATGAAGGGCTTAATGAACAAATCATGAAACAAAAGAAAAGGTTTGTATTTTAGGATGAAGGAAAAACAGTGCTTTCCTGATAATCCTGATTATAATACTAAGTTGAATGGAGTTTGACAGGTTTCTGTAAGAATAATATAAAAGTTTGATGACAGTTTTCATTGAAAATGCCTTAAAGTCAAATCATATAGCTACTGACCTTGCAAAAACCTCCATAAAAAGCAAGTCAGTTTAATGCTCCACACAGCAATTTAAAGGAAGATTACTGTGTATTTCAAGTTTCATAACAATTGGCTCTTCGTCATATCTTTACTCAACATGTATCAGTGTTCATCATTTGCTCAGTATTTCTCCAATATTTATTCCTACAGATGCAAGCTAGTTCTGTCATGAATAACTTTATACAAAAAGCCATATTTGCAAACGTCTTGTAGATTTCATCTTCAATATGGGAAATGTAACAAGGCAAGCCAGAAAAACTCTACTGCCCCTTGGTATTCTCAAAAACTTTTCGTGTGCAAACCTTTCAAAAGGTCAGAGTTAACCCAATCTTCAAATCTTCAACCCATGTTTTAGTTTGTTTGCAGGAAGGGGATGGGGGGGAAGCAAAACCTCCCAATACAGGGACCATATGTACTGCTATGTTTGTTACCTGTATGCTGTACCGTTACAACTGGAACCCTGCCTTTGATTTTATTTATTTATTTATTATTTTTCCCCCAGTACACTGAGGTTGATCTGACAAAAATCTATTGAATATAATCTACATGAGTAACTGGAAAAGTTAACAGCCATGAATGTACATGCTTGCTGAACCTATGCTCTATGTAAGTTACACTTGGGAGAAAAAAAAATGAGTTGTATATAGCTTCTGTAATTAATAAGTCTGACAAAACCTATTAGTACAAAGAACTGTAATAAATCACCTGTCATGCACATTTTCCATACACATGTATATTGAAAAGTGGTATATCGGTGTATTTTAAAAATACACATATTTCAGGTTCTAACATAAGGGCAGATTTAAGGTCCAGTCACAGATCTCTTGATAATGTCAAGAGCGCACTCCATTTAACATCAGGAATAACTGCAAAGCTCGTACAACTCTGCAATCTATGAAACTCTGTTTCAGTTAAAAACTGAAGAAGCATCATATTAACATGCTTAACCATCTGAAATGTTTTTCCCCCTTTAAAAGATTATGAGTTTCACTTTTGTTTTTCTTTCCTGTGTGGTAATGACAGATAAAAGAGTACTGATTTACGAGCATTTTTCACACAGTGACCTTTTCTGAGAGGAAACTTTAGAGTATTTTATGCAACTTACACAGACACAGTGATTCTTATAGAACATAAGTGGACTCTCACCAAGCTAAAGCACTGGCTCAGGGAAAGATTCTTACTGCTTACTGAGAACAACTCTGTTTTCTTCATTCCTCTTACCTCTCCCCACTCCCTCACCCCAGTTTTAAAAAGAGAATTCTCCTAATTAAATGAAGAAAATTATATATAAAACCAACATTCCTATCAAGGCTGACATCAGTGAAGTGTGGTTGTGTGAGCTCCAGTTTGCACAGCATATACATTGATAAACCACTTTCTTATCTAGACACTCAAGGCAGAAAAACAAAAACAGAAGAAAAATTCAGCAAAAACCTATCTTTCTCGATAACATCCTTCGGTGTGCGAGATATCTCACTTAACACCCTGGTGGGGGGCAGGGGAGGTCAGGGCAGGCTGGCAGGGAGCAGGGGTCTGCTAGGGGGGTACCACAAGCCCAAGAGCCCCCCACGCCAACGGGTGGGTCCCGCGCACCCTCCCGGCCCTGTGTAACCTCAGAGCAGCCCCAGGAGAGGATGTGACTACTGCTGGCATTCAGAAAAAAGGGAACTCCGCCCTCCCACATCTGTAACACGTCATATACCTACTCTCAACAAACTTGCAACCTATTTTAACTGAAAAACAGAGAATCACCAGTTCAGCATGGGTGAAACACTGATGCAACAGTGTAACGCTTACGTCCCCCCCAGTTAGCTGTGTGAATCATACTGGATGAAAAAGCTGGAAAGGCCCTTGCTTTGGAGTAACAGTTTAAAAGTGGACAAATGCTAAACTTGGATGAGTCTCCAACATTTACAGCTTTACATTACTTCTTCGCTCACACTATGCCAACTTACCATTAGCCTTTAAAAAAATGTAGCCATTACACCCAAAAACTGCCTACCTTTCAATCTTCCCTTTCCTGATTGCCATTGTTTCACATTCTTCTGGCAACCTCTCGCTGTCAGAGAAGCCTAGCTTGGCTTTTCTGTAAGGCATTTACCTCCAGCTAAGAGGCTGCACAAACAAGTGGCAACAGGCCTAACAAAGTGATGCAGCTGAGAGAGCCCCTGGTGCACCGTGTCTCACCCCGTGCCACTCCAGAGGCAGCCCAAATCCTGACTAAGCTATACAGGTTCACAGCCCAATGGTGTGCAACTGTGACCCCTCACAGCTTTTCAGAAGGTCTACTGGAGAAGGGCAGGGCAAAGGCAAACAGGAATTATTGCTCTGTTTCCTTTGAACAGAAAAGAGCTGGGCATATTTAACAATAATGTTAAATTTAATGCTATTAATGTTATTAATTAATAATGTTATTAAATTTAATGTTAAATTTAACAATAATGTTAAAAAATCAAATAAAACCCTACACACCCACACTGAGGCACTCCAGATGCTGCAGTTCCATCCCTGATTTAAAAGGGAAATGACTACTGTGGAACACACATACTACTATATTACATTAGTTGCTTAATGGCAACTGACACATATGTTTTATTGTTCAGTTATTCCAGGTTTGCCAATGCTAGTAATTGTGCAATACCTGTCAATAATTTCTTGCCCCGCTGGTGGGCTGCTCCTCTTTTTTGGACACCTGAGGCATAACCTCACTTGGTTAAATGAAATATAGCTGCTTTACTCAGTATTCAACATGTCATCAACATGCTAAATTAATGGCCTGGCTCTCTCAGATAAATAAGCCATGTGAGGCAGCTGCTCCCGGAGCTCACGCTGTATTATACACACATGCACATTCCAGTAACAGGCTCCAGGGCAGAAGCAGCCACACTTCATTGAACACCCTGGCAACCACCCAAGAGCACCAAGGAAGGACTTTCAAAAACATCTTTCATTAAAGAACATGTGCAGGTAAGATGAGCATCCCTGCTCCTAGAATTGCTGGTATCTTCCCGCTGCCTGTGAGCAAGACTTGTGTGTTCTCTACACATGCCCAAGGTTTTGACTTGCGGGTTGGCAGGGATTAGCAGTGGTAGTCATTGCTTCTTTTCACCTCACACTAGGGAATGTATGGAAAAAACTCTGTCTGTGTGTGTTAGATATATGCACACATGCATACACTTATATATATTAATATTTCAAGTATTTTTTAATACATATATATATGTTTGTTTACGGACAGACTCACTTGGAAAGGATGGTATGTATACAGAGGAATAAACCAGCAGGAACATCCTGAAATTCAACAAGCACCAACTCACAGTCCTGCACCTTGTAACAGACAGGCTGGGACCAGAGGGCCTGGACATCAGCTCTTAGGGATGGCCCTGGGCACTGGTGGGCAGCAAGCTGAGCCAGGGCCAGACATGCACCCAGGCAGCAATGAGGGCCAGCAGTGGGTGGGCAGCATGAGCAGAACACAGCCATGAGAGCCAGTGGAAGGATCACCCCTCTACTCTGAGCTCACCAATATACCTGGAATACTGCTCTGAATGCAGGAAAGACACCCACAGAACTGGAACAAGTTCATGGGAGGCTACTGAGGCAGCAAGGCTGGAGCCCTTGCCCTGAGAGCTGGTTGACCTGTGAGAAGGGATGACTTTGACATCTCTGACACTGACAGGAAACGAATGAGGAGATGTAGCTCGGTTCTTGCATGGTGGAAGGCCAAGAGGCAGCAGGCACAAGCTGAAACATCAGATGTTCACATGGAGATAAGGACAGCCCAAAAGAGCTGTCCAGAGGGCCCAGAGACATTGTGCTGTCTTCAGTCTTGGGGTTTTCAAACCCTGTCTGTAGAGCCTTGGGCAATGTAGTCCAAGTCCATGGCTGATTCTGTTTTGGGGAGGGATGTGGACCTCCAAAGGTCCTTGCCAGCCTGCACAAGTTGGTGATTCTATGGAAGTACTCAGAGCACGCTGTCTCCTTACCCTATTGTCCTGGTTTTGGCTGGGATAGAGTTAATTGTCTTCCTAGTAGCTGGCACAGTGCAGTGTTTCATAGAATCATAGAATCGTTGAGGTTGGAAAAGACCTTTAAGATCATCCTGTCCAACCACTAACCTAACATTACCAAGTCCACCACTAAACCAATTAAGGGTAGAGTAGCAATTTCATGTTTCCTGGCTTGGTGGCTGGATTATTTATAATGAAAGTAAAAACTAGGAATCATTAAGATTGGAAAGGATCTCCAAGATCATCAGTCCAAACATCAACCCAACACCACCGTGTCCACTAAACCATGTCCCAAAGTGCCACATCTACCCATTTTTTTAACACTTCCAGGGATGGTGGACTCCACCACCTCTCTGGGCAGTTTCGGATTTAGGGTGAGAATAATGCTGATAACACACTGATGTTTTAGTTGTTGATAGTTGACCCAAAGTGACCAAAGGGCTATTCCATACCATATGACATCATGCTCAGTATATAAGCTGCGGGGAGTTGGCTGGGCAGCAGTCGGCCGGTAGTGAGCAACTGCATTGTGCATCACTTGCTTTGTATATTGTTATTACTATTATTATTACATTGTTATTATTACTACTACTATTTTATTTTATTTTAATTATTAAACTGCTCTTATCTCAACCCACAAGTTTTCTCACTTTAATTCTTCTGATTCTCTCCCCCATCCCACCAGGGCAGGTGGAGTGAGCGAGCGGCTGTGTGGTGCTTAGCTGCTGGCTGGGGTTAAACCACGACACCTATCCTTATACTCTTCTGTGTAGAATTAAGGAATAAAAGCATGAATTAAAAAGGCGGAGCTCAAAATAAAAAAAAATACATCATCAGTAATGAAGGAAACTCACTTGTATTCCAGACTGGTGTCAAAGCAGCACTCTTCCAGCGCATCCAGGGACTTCATTAGGACTAAATTCATCTGTTGACCAGGTACATCACTACAAAACCAAAATAAAGCAGAAATCAAAAAAATCCAAAACACAGCTCTGCTCTTTAAATTACACAGGATACAAAAACCTCCTGCTATGACTGAACATGCCAGTAAATAGAGTTCTTTTCTTGCTGTAACAGGTTCTCATACTGGTCTGTAAGCAATAACTATATGACTGATCATTTGTGTCACATTCATATAAACATACTCATACACAAATCATAAAAACATATTCAGACTTTAACTGGCAACCATTATTGCTACAACACCCAGAAAGAAACCCAGCACCCAGGATTTGTAAAATATGCCTGACAGTAGTAGGAGTATACTGATAAGTATGATCTCAGCTAGACCTGTAACCATTTTTAAGCTGAAAATTCATGACATTTTAAGATATTAGCTCTGTAAACCTCTCCTTCCATCTCTTTGCCTAACTTATTGTTAAAAAAGGAAGCATTTACATCTCACTCCAGAGACGTCATAGGGACTCCCCTCCTACAAAACATGTACACAGTTTTCTTAATGAACAGGACATCTTTAATGCAAACTAACTCTATGATTTGGTATTAGCTACAGCTACATCCCTACAAGTTTTGCTGTTGTTGCAAGTCAATGCCTGGAAGAATGTGTGGGATTAAGCTTTGAAATTATGCAGTGCAGTGGAACAGTAAAAACTGATATAGTCCATAAGAAATTTTTAGATAAATTCATTAATTTCAACACCCCTTGCCAAACAAACAAAACACAAAACCCCAAAATAAAGATTCACATACTCCGAAATACCAAGCTGATCTAAAGTCATTCTCTTTAAGAGCCTTTTAATGCTCTAATATGTGTAATATTCAGTTGTCACCACTGACTAATCATCCAGAGACAGTCCATTCCCAAATTATGTGTCTGAGTCAGAGGCAGCAAGGCATTGAGTCACCAAAGCATGAAGATTAGAAGAGAGCAATGTTGGACAGTGTTTTAACAAAGGCAGGTGCGTTGGAAATGTCAGCTTCACTGAGCAAATTAACAACTGACAGCCAAATCTATTTGATACCTATGCTTCTGCACCAATTAAACATTTATTACAGGTATACAGGCAGACAGAATCCCTAGTCAAGAAGTTGGAGGAGTATAAAGCCAAACCTACTTCTTAATTTCCCTGGAATCATAGGAAATTTGCAACTGAGGCCAACCCTTCTGTAAAGGAGGCATTTTCTACCAACTTCAGAACATCTCTTTGCTGCCAACATAGCTGTAACAGCACACCTTCAAGGTAGCCTCTTACACTATTTCTGTTGTAGGTCCATCCCCATACACATAACTCACATCATGTAAGTGGACACTATCCAGTGTTCAGAGCACCACTTAGAAAGGAACCAATGAGAACTGTGAATTATTTTAAAATTAAGTCTCCTACAGCAGCTAGTCTGCTTTAAAAGCATGTGTGGTTCTTCTAGCTACCTGCTTTGCACATGTACCTTAGGATATTATGAAAATTAATCATTCAACCTGAAAGAACGGCAAAATATCCAGGATAGCACTCGGAGGGGTGGGTGATGAAGACTAATAATAAAAGACACCTTTTAAGAAACGTTGCAAAGCCCCTCAAGAATCATTTGCCTATGACTTGTAAATATTTTAATTCCTCAGAACTTAAGGCCACATGCAGGAAAAAGAAGGAAGTTATTTGCACACCTACATTATGTATGGTAATCCTTACCTGACTTTTTCTTCATACAAACGTGAGATAAACATCCCCAAACCAAGGCCCATGTGGATTTGAACAGCTTGAGACTCATCAGCATTTCGTTTCCCAGGTAACCTGTCAGTCAGCATATTCAGGACTTCTTCAACCTTCTCCTTACATGATACAATGAAAACTGGCACCAGGAGAGACAAAGCAGTGGCCGCACAGGAACGAGCTATAATACTAGCAGTATTTTCACCTGAATAGGATTTCTAGAAAAACATAAAAAAGAATTTTTTTTTTCTTTTCCTCTCGGGGGAGGGAAACAAATTCCTTTCCAGGCAGTAACACTCAGCACTTTAGGAATTTAAAATAAACACCTATACAGGAAACAGCAGCACAGCTGTATTGCAATCTGGCAGTAAATAGTATTTCATGGAATTACCTATGTAACTTTTCCATTTGCCTTACCTTGTAAGCAGCTTAAAACTAGGGTAATTCAGAATATAATTTCTAAGTGTAAATAAGACTGTTAAGTATGAAACTGTAAACAAAGGATACGACAAAATTTAACAGCTAGTCTACACATAAATACATTGGTCTATTTTAGTTTTCACCTTCCTTGTTAAAATACCCAGCAGCATGGTCAGAAGGACAAACAGAAACCAGCCATGATGTTAATGTACTTCTGTAATTATAACACACCAAGAATTTAGTGAAATTCGGAAAAAGCACTAGCTTAAAAGCATCACACCTAGGATGATAAAATAACATGTGATCTTGCAAGACAACCAGTTTCTAGAAGAAAGATCCCTTACAAAGGTTTTTAATTCCTTTCCATTTTGAAAGGTAAAATCCATACAGCTACCTCTACTTATAAAGCAATGGACTGATTGTAAGTAATAGCCTAATGTATATTTATCAACTTCCACATGCAACTCTGAAAAGGAAAAGAAAAAAAATCCCATCAGGATGCAAGGCACTCTGCAAGACAGTGACTTCTATTGTGTGCCTCAAGCACAAGTTTTTTTATTTTTTTATTTTTTTTTAAAAAACAGGTGGATTTTAGAAATGAAACATTCTCATGTTGTTCCATCTCGAACCCACCTTTTCTAAACAGCATTATTTTCAAAGACAGGAGTCACAGAACAATTTGGCAAGAACTGCTAGTGCCAACCAAGTGGCTGAATCTCCTTACATCCAACCAACCTAGCATTTATTTAACAGTACATTTGATTTAGTGATCTATGTCCCTGATCAGTGATGACAGGCATCACATGCCAGAGCTGACTCAGGTCCATCAGTAATTTTCAGCTTTTTGATGCTAACATTGCACTACTGGACTAAACGCAGTTCATGAACGCAGTTAATGAAGTTCTGGTTAGAAAACATTACAATACATTAGCAGGCTGGTATTTGGCCTTGTAGGACCCAAGTTCCCTTCTGCATCCATGACACAAAGAATCTCCAACCTGGCTGTTTTGACTATGGATAGTCAAGAGTTATCAATACCCTGCAAGCACATACGATAGAACTTACACTGGCCCTCAGGGATTCAAGAAGTACTGTAAAATAGGAATCACTGGCTCCATAACTATTAGATTTTGAGAAAGCATGCATTTCAGAGCCCTAAGGAATGGTGCCAGAATCACTCAAAAGTTTAATAGTGTGGTCTGAGGAGAGTCTGTTCATGATGGACTGTTTAGTTTTGTACACACCTGCCAAATATTCTAGGTTTTGAAGGTTTTTTTGTTTTAAAAATTTCCTTCATTCATGTATCCTCACATGTGGTTTTTACTGTTTTGGTAATAAAGATAAGCACTCAAGGCAAACCCATATATATAAGCAGAAAACACAATGAAAGAAAAAAAGCAAAAGCAAGAAAAGTTTTGATTCTATTGTATTACAACTACTACAGGGCAAACAGAACCAGGAAAAGTCCACACTAAGAACTCCAGGCATGAAATACAGATATATTCTCTTTCTTTTAACACCACAACACCTACCTGGTAGAACCATGGGAAGACTTGACCTTTAGGGTGATAGCGGCTATTCACAATACTAAAGAGGGTCTCTGTGACCATAGAAATCCAGTGTTTTGTGGGAAGAAAATCAGGTTCAGTCTGGAAAAATCAAACCCAAATATTCAGCATTATTTTTTCTTAAATCAGGTCCTACCTGAACAGAAGCTCAGCAGCTGATGTTCCAGCTATGATCCATCAGGAACGAAATTACTTTGTCGTTCTTAGGTACAGCAAGTAGCATGATTTACTTGCCAAACTGACCCCCAGATATCACTTTTGATCAGGTACTGTTCAATGAAAGCAAAAATTATAAGAAAAGAGGCTGGCTGCGTTTCAGTGTCCACTAGACCTCTATCTCATTTGTCAAGACCAACAAATGTGTTAGTCATTATGTTTCTTGTGAGAAGGCGCCTACACACTCTGACTGCTTTTGCATAGATCACACACCAGCTACCAGATAGGATTCACTGAGCAGGGTGAAATTTGAACTTCAAAATGTGAAGTACTTCATATCTACTTACCAGCCTCCCCAACAGTTGGTCATATTGCTTTATTATATTCTACTAAGAGTAGAGAATCTCTTTCCCACATTGACTCACCTCAGGCATCCCTTCAGTGTCTGAGGAAAGGCTGCTTTCATATTTGGCTACAGCAACTGCAAGACCAGTTAAGGCAAAAATAGAGTTTCCTTTCACCACTGGGCTGTCTCTGGACAGAAAAAGGCAAACAGTTAAGAAGTCTAATAAAGATGCAGGCAACAAAACATGTGTCTCAGTGCAGGAAAGTTATGCTACAGATGGTCCAGGAGGGAAGGCCTTTGTACCTAGCAACTTTATTGGGCTGTCTTCTAGCAAAAGTCTGTTGCATTTCATCTTCAGGAATTAGAGTAAGAATGGGGGAGAGAAGCGTTTCAGTCTTTTTTCTTGTTTGTCTTTTATATAAAACCTAGCACACACAAAGTTGTATAAAAACAGAAGCTTGCTGCCACTACAATGAGGACTGCCATCCTGCAGAGCAAGTAGCACTCACAGAAAGGTACCAGTTGGTCTTAGCTAGTACCATTTCTACACAGGACAACATAAAAAACTCTTCAAACAGAGCACGCTAGACAGGCAGGTGCCACTTCATTGCAACAGCACCTGTTCAGGAGATTTAGCAGAGCAGCCATCACTGAAATCGCAGCTTAAAAAAAAAAGTTTTGCATTACTCCCCTGTGCTGTGAAAAGATTACCATCATGGAAAGTGGCAGGTTTCAAAGAGTACTAACTTCTACCGCAATGCAAACCTCTACTTCTAAGCAACTCGAGAAAAAAAATCTGCCACCGACGAATAAGAGAGAGAATATAACTGTGTTCAGTTTCATGAAAAGATGAATGTCAATATCCCAGTCATTCCCAGAAAAACATATTGCAATACAGTCCTGCTGGAAATCTCTTAGTTGTTTTACAACAACAGCTGAACAATACAACTCTACTAGACCACTTACAGTCTTACACTAGACCAGTACACAGTGTACTATACTTTTTGCATCAGCCTTCCATTTCTAAAAACTTCCTCAACTGTTGCTGTAAAAATACACCTACACTGCAAATATAGGCATTTGTTCCAGATCCAAAGATCTCATTTTCACAATAAAAATATTTTCTGGATTTCTGGTTTGCTTTTTAAAATAAGACACACAGGTCTTAGTGGAATGTCATTGACCTCTCCTGTTTGGAACACTGAAATTATTTCCTTTCAGATAAGAGATACCTACAAATAATTACAGCTAGGTACTTAGTTAAGTTCTTTGAAATCTCCCCATATCTCTTGCCTTAAATAATTTCCTAATCTGTGCATAGAACCTTTGTTGTTGTGGATCATCAACTTCTGAAAGGTTACATTTCATGATGTACCTCAAACAGAGAGAAACTTCTAAATCTACACACTCATGAAAGATGAATGCTTTAAATGAAGGTAAAAATCATCATCCTAACAAGCCCCAGGAGGAAAAAGAGCAGCATCTTACTCTTTATTGAAAATATGGGGAAAACCCGCAGTAATTTCTTAAAAGAGTCAGTAAACACAAGAATTTCTAGAGATGTGATCTATGCAGTGGAAATCCTTCTCTTGTTACCTAAAATTTACCACTCCCTCCCAAATTAGGCAATGCTTCTACCTCAACTAGTTTTGCTAATGAACTCCTGCAACTAAAATCATAACTTCAATTCTGAGACACAGAATATCATATATTTAAAGTTTATTATCTTCTTCCTCCTTTATTTATGTCTTTCTACTATCTTACCTTAACACTGGTATTTATTGAGTATGCTAAAATATCAAACAGGTCTTTCAATTTCATCCCTCTTTAGCTGACTCCTTCAAGATGGACCAACATGCAAGGATGGGAATATTTTAAATAGCTTAACAACAAGTTAAAAAAAGTTCAAACCTTTATGGTTTTGAGTCTTAATTAAAATCTCCAGAACTCTCAACTCACAAAAGTATTTCAAACTAGTCTTTTATACATTTACAAGAATACCAATGTTTAAACCACCCTTGAGATTTCACTGTAATTCTTTCACTGATGACATCTTTATGATTTAAGATTTTCTAAGTACTCGATCTTATGAGGATTCACTATTTGTATATACGACACAGCTGGTGAGTGAGCCAACTAGGGAAGGTACCCTGCTAGACCTGCTGTTTGTGAACAGAGAAGGACTTGTGGGTGAGGTGATGGCTGGAGGCCATCTTGGGAACAGTGATCATGACAGAGTTTTCAAGTCTCAGAGAAGTCAGGAGGGGCATCAGTAGAACTTGGGCTTCCAGAGGGCAGACTTCAGCCTGTTTAGCAGCCTGGTTGACACAGTCCCTTGGGAGGCAGCCCTGAAGGGCAACGGAGTCCAGGAAGGCTGGACATTCTTAAAGAAAGAAATCTTAAAGGTGCAGGAGCAGGCCATTTCCACGTGCTGAAAGATGAGCTGGTGGGGAAGAAGACTGGCCTGGCTGAACAGAGAGTTTTGGCTGGAACTCAGGAAAAAAAGGAGAGTTTATGACCTTTGGAAGAAGGGCCAGGCAACTCAGGAAGACTACAAGAATGTCATGAGGCTATGCAGGGAGAAAATTAGAAGGGCCAAAGCCCAACTAGAACTTAATCTAGCTACTGCAGTAAAAGACAAAAAAGCCATGTCCCTACAAATACATTCACTACAAAAGGAGGGCTAAGGAGTATCTCAATCCTTTATTGGATGTAGGGGGAAAACATAGTGACAAAGGATAACAATAGGCTGAGGTACTTAGTGCCTTCTTTGCCTCAGTCTTTAATAGTAAGACCAGTTGTTCTCTGGATACCCAGCCCCCTGAGCTGGAAGACAGGGACAGGGAGCAGAATGAAGCCCCCATAATCCAAGGGGAAATGGTTAGTGAACTGCTACACTTAGATACACACAAGTCTATGGGGCCGGATGGGATCCACCCAAGGGTATTGAGGGAGCCTGGTGGAAATACTCACCAAGCCGCTCTCAGTCATCTATCAGCAGTCCTGGCTAACCGGGGAGATCCCAGTTGACTGGAGGTTAGCAAATGTGATGCCCACCTACAAGAAGGGCTGGAAGGAGGATCTGGAGAACTATGGGCCTGTCAGCCTGACCTTGGTGCCGGAGAAGATTATGGAGCAGATCATCCTGAGCACCATCATGGGGCACATACAGAACAACCAGGTGATCAGGCCCAGTGAGCAAGGGTTTATGAAAGGCAGGTCCTGCTTGACAACCTGATCTCCTTCTATGACAAGGTAACCTGCTCAGTGGATGAGGGAAAAGCTGTGGATGTTGTTTACCTGGACTTTAGTAAAGCCTTTGACACCATTTTCCACAGCATTCTCCTGGAGAAACTGGTTGCTCATGGCGTGGATGGGTGTACTCTTTGCTGGGTACAAAACTGGCTGGATGGCCAGGCGCAAAGAGCTGTGGTGAATGGAATTAAATCCAGTTGGTGGCTGGTCACAAGTCATGTTCCCCAGGGCTCAGTACTGGTGCTGGTTCTGTTTAATATTTTTATCAATGATCTGGATGCCAGGATTGAGTACACCCTCAGTAAGTTTGCAGACGGGTGGGAGCGTTGATCTGCTTGAGGGTAGGAAGGCTCTACAGAGAGATCTGGAGAGGCTGGATTGATGGGCTGAGGTCAACTGTATGAGGTTCAACAAGGCTAAAGTGCTGGGTCCTGCACCTGGTTCACAACAAACCCATGCAACGCTACAGGCTTGGGGAAGAGTGGCTGGAAAGTGGTGAGGCCACACCTTGAATACTATGTTCAGCTTTAGGTTCCTCAGCACAAGAAAGACATTGAGGTGCTGGAATGTGTCCAAAGGAGTGCAACAAAGTTGGTGAAGGGTCTAGAGAACAAGTCTTATGAAGGGTGGCTGAGGGAACTGGGGTTGTTTAGCCTGGAGAAAAGGAGGCTGAGGGGAGACCTTGTCACTCTCTACAACTACCTGAAAGTAGAAAAACAACTGCAGAAAATATTATCTTACACCTTCTGCCACAAACGACAACTCATTCTTGTCTGTAACAAATGAGCAGTTCTTACTTGGAAGCACCTTTGATGACATCGGTCAACATATCTCTGACCCTGCAACAGAAACAGAATGAATTTACACCGTGTTCATTATATTATAGCATGAACTCAGCTAATTTCCCCTTATGCCTTACATGTGTCCATTCTAGGTTAACAGTTATCTCATTTAGCTATCGGAAGACTTTGTGCAAATTAATCACAAGCATTAAAACTGTAAAAGTGCTTACAAACCACCCGACATTTCTTCGTGTTCATGTGAACTACCAATGTTTTATAAAGGGCTCTTATTTGACGTCATACCACTTTTTGTAAAGTGCAGGTCCATGCAATAGCTATAAATCTGTTGAGCTGTAACACATAAGTTTCCAGATTGCTATGCTATGCCTTAGCATAATAAAATGAGAATGTTTTACAATGGGCAACCATAACAATTTATGCAATACTTTGTATACTCCTGGAAACCACCATGGACAGTTACGCTATTAGGCAGTATAGTAACCTGAATCCATTTAAATGAAAGCCATAGGAGCAGTTACAATTTCTTACACATTACTATAGTTGACTTATAATAGGCTACTTCTCTGCACTTGTTTAGTTTTGCATTCATATCAAGACAGAAGCAGAGATGCAGTGAGTCTTCATATCAGCAGGTTTTGGTGAGGAAAGAGATCCTCCATACTACAACATACAATACCATCCTGGCCATGACTGTCATCCTACAGAAAAAGATACACTCCAATCACAGTTCCACAGCACGTGATTAGAAGACTAAAAACACATGCCTTGTAAAATAGGACCATATATTACAAGACTGAGTTATAGTCAGCCTTTAAAAGAAACATACTCAGGCTTTCCTTCATAACCACACTGTTTTTGCACACAATTTCAAACCCACCTACACTAGAAATGCTTACACCAACTTGGCAAATACCAATGCAAAATTGCACAATACTTATACAATAAAGCTTTAGTGCTCAAGTTTATAGCAAGCTATCCACAATCAGGTTAAACCCAGTGGGCAACACAAATGCTGAATGGGTACTGAAGTTAAGAGCCCTGAAGCACCAAGCAATTAAGGGGGAACAGCAAAAGACATGAAAGCTAATACCAGGCTTCCAGTTCACTTACTGCTTTGATTTCGCTACTGATAAAGGGAATTCTGTTCATTTTTGACATAGCTTACATGAACACTATTTAGGAAATACAGACCAGAAATCGGTTCAGGAGAAATCTACAAAAGCAGCATTGCTATAAGCATTCTTCTCACCTGGAAAATGCTTTCTCTTTATACCCTAGAGATGGGGCATAGCAACAACAGAAAACTGTGCCACTTCTACATAAAGAACCTCTTCTACAATACCATCATTCTGGATCTTACTATGAAACCCTCTAATCTAGACTTAGCTGGAGTAAAATAGCAGACACAAATTTTGTATTCCTGTTGTAAGTTGTCCTGACTTAGTAACGCCTTTTTGACTGAAACAGGCAAAGGGCATTTTGGTTTTGTTTGTACATACTTTGTTCCCAATGCACTTATGAACAAGAACAGAAATAGATACTTATACTGTTTGTGGATATGTAATTCTTTCTTTCTGTGAAGCCTCCCACTTGCCACCTTGGCCCCCTGGCCATGCACATACATGGCTAAATCCTGACAGACTGAGACATGCTCCTCAGCTGACAGAAACAGAAGTAGTTGAGGATATGGATCAGGGTGTGCATCATGTGCTTGGTTTTAAACAACATCCTCGGGCTCAACATTGCCAGCTTACCAAAGAAACTGAGGTGTGTCTCAGTTCATCATGAGGCATGGTATGACACACATCATACCATGGCTTACATTTCTTTTATCAAGCCATTTTCAGTGAGACAGCTCACTTAGTCTCTACAAGCTTTGCTCTTTGCATAATCCTTCTACTTCAACATGACACAAAACAAATACAGTTTTCGATTCCTTCCAGTTGCTCACCCTACAAAGTTTCAGACACCGTAGAAGGGAAGGTACCTGTGAACCCATGCACATGGGAATCCTTAGACAATTACCCAGTAGTCTCTTTATTCCCATTCCCCCCGCCCCGCCTTGGTCATTGTATCTGGTGGTGGTTTTATTTCATTAGTGCTCATACAGTCTTTAAACTTGCAAAACTAAAGGCTTTGAAGTCTTGCTCTCCTGTGCCCCCTCACTGGCCATTACAAGCCATCAGGAGCAGAGGCGCACTTCCTTACCAGAGCCAGGCTGTAAACTGTTTGTACTGCACCTCTTCAGGATCCTCTTTTCCATGTTTTAACTGCATCTCCAGCTCTGCCTGCCTCCCCTGCAGAATTACAGAATAAGTCAGAAGTGGATCTTACATGGCCAATCACTATAAGAATTCTTCAGAGAACACTTAAGTAAAGGATTTAGCCTTTCACTTGAGGTCTAATTCGTAAGTCCACTTGACTGCTTTTCATATGGGATCCCACTACAATACACAATATATTAAGTAAAAGAATTAATAATTTTTTATTCCGAGTGAGGAAAACAAGCTGCAGATGGCACAAATGGCCAGAGATACTGAGACATCTCTCCTAGTCCGTGCAAAGAGACAAATTCCCTTGGGAATGGGTACAACAAGCGGGGAATGAGATTTAGAAGCCTGCTAGCTAAAATAGATTCTAATAGTAAAACATCACTTTCTTGACTCACTACTTAAAACAGAATTCCTCCCTGCTGTGACCCAAGCCTCCCTGTGACCTCCTACAACAGTTCTTTCTGTAGTTTAAAGGAGATGATATGGATTCTGCCCTCTAACAACTGTTACCCAAACATACTAAGCAGCTTTGCTTTAATGTCCAGTCTCCAACCCTGAGGCAACTACATCTCAACTTGTTTAGGTTGTCAGTTACTGCTCCTTTGTAGGTTATTAGGCCTTAAGTGAAAAATACAGGCACATAAGCTGTATTTTTCAGGTATTGAATGCTTGTAGTTTGGGTGTGCATAAAAACCTGAGAATACAAGAGAGTCAATCCTGTAAATCCAGATGTCACTCAAAACGTGACTCTCCACAGAGATTAAATAAGCACGTACAACACACTGACTAAAGAGAAGGCTGCATAAAAGCTATGCAAAAACCTATTGCAATTTCCCCAAACACATAAACATTGGCTTAAGCTCTGTACTAAATCAAGACCTGTAGGATCATCATGATGAGGTTGATTTCAGTCTCAAAACCATGCTGAATGCACAAATTGACAGAAATGCTTAAGCATGTGAGTAGACATAATAAAAGACAAGAGGACTTCCAGGTGTCCAAAGGGAAAAAAGTCCTCACACAAGTGTTTTGGTGAACTGGACTCTATGAACATCTGCCTCCAAACTGTAGAAATGATTACTCTGCTGGCTGTTCAGAAATACTGAATTATGTGCTATCCAGACTAATCATCTTATTCTGTAGTCTCTTTTGGCCATCTCAGATTAAACGTACTGTAGAAGCATAAGGAGTAAGTGAAGATACTAGGTCTCCAGCGAGGGACTTCAGAGGCCACAAAAACAGGCTCTATTGCCTATAAAATTGCACAAAATCCTAGAAAGGCTTTCAGAAACAAGTCTGGTAAATGCCAAGCTTCTCATGAAATCTTGCCTCAGAGGGGAAGCAAAATAGGAAAGTAATTACATGCAAGCAACAATGGCCCCCTCTGTAGTTATGACCTAAAATTACAATTTGAATAGCTGCTGCCTGCTTTGTAATGAGGCTGGCTCATCTTAGAATCCGGTATTTTGCTGATGGCCAAGGTAAAATTTGTCTTGAAAATGTTAGAGAAGCATATGTTTTGCTGCACAGCAGAACAAGAAACAGTCCAAACTTCTAGAATTTGCTCAGCAACCTGAGCTGCTCATGCTGAAAACAGCTGATGTGGCCTGGAAATACAAACAAATAAGCCCTTCTAGTAGCACAAAGAGAGCCTTCTAGAAGGCAGCTATTTGTTAGAAGTTTTTTAGATAATTTTCCTTTTTTCTGCTGAAAAACCAAATGACACTATATTCCTTTAGATATCAGGTCAGTTAACCTAATGAAAGAGATGTTTTAAGATATTTCCTAATCATTAGATAGGGTGAAAAAAATGAAGATGGGTCCCTCACAGTGTGACAGCATTACATGCCAATTAAGAGAAATTCTATTTAATGAATCATTCCTCAATAGCTTCTGTCTCCTTTGTGATGCTATTATTACAAAATTCCTACCCAAAATAATAGGTTAGAGCTCTAGCTAAAATTTCACATCCTAAAAATTCTAAGAATTGACACATTCTGCAACACAAGAACAAGACTGCAAGAAACTGAACTGTAAGCAGAAGTTACACTTCTACAAGTATCCAAGATTGTGCTGCCGTTAACTGAAGACTCATTTTTATTTTCTTTTCATAAATTTTATTATTAAACACCTTAAGCTTTATTTTTAAATTATTTTAACTTGCATGGATGTGCTCGCTGGTAAAAACAAAACTCAAACCACTGGAATCAGCATTAATGTGTACAGTATTATGTACCTCGAAATTACCTGCAGGATTGCACTGTAGGTTCGACTCATAAATCCTAACCATGACTGTGGCAGCAGTATGGAGCGGTGCCATTCAGAAGGTTGAATGTTAACCTGTGCAACAAACCAGAAAGGGAAGAAGCGGTTACATTAAGTCTAACATAAGCAGAATGTATGTTCCCCAATCTGTGATTTGCAGGCAATCGTTTGCTCAAGCCCACAGGGCATTACACATGGCTATAGGAAACTAAAATGATAATGTACCTCGTTCTCCTTTCTGGTTCTACCCACACCAAGTTGCTTTCAACTTCATTACCCGGACCAGAAAAAATTGTTTGCTTCAGGTATTTCAATAGATAATTGATCCCAGAGAGAGCAGTGGAATTATACGTGGCAATAAGCACAACACTTAGTAGCACTGGTAGACAAAAATACGTACATAACAAAGATGTTAGTGCAGCTTACGTTTGTCATAGTTTTTGTAAATCTTAGGTGCTTCTACAAGCTTTAAACAGACAAAATAAATACAAGTAAATGACTATCTAAGTACAGGGAAATTATTCAAAAGGAGTTACTATCCAACTGGGATATATATAACTATGTTCAAGTAGAATCATAGAACAGTTTAGGTTGGAAGGGACATTTAAAGGTCATCTAGTCCAACCCCCCTGCAATGAGCAGGGACATCTTCAACTAGATCAGGTTGCTCAGAGCCCTATCCAATCTGACCTTGAATGTTTCCAGGGATGGTGCATCTATCACCTCCCTGGGCAACCTGTTCCAGTGTCCACCCCCATCGTAAAAAATTTCTTCCTTGTATGTAGTCTAAATCTACTCTCTTTTAGTTTAAAACCATTACCCCTTGTCCTGTCACAACAGGCCTTGCTAAAAAGTTTGTCCCCATCTTTCTTAAAGTCCCCCTTTAAGTACTGAAAGGCTGCAATAAGGTGCCCCCACAGCCTTCTCTTCTCCAGGCTCAACAACCCCAACTCTCTCAGCCTTTCTTCATAGGAGAGCTGTTCCATCCCTCTCATCATTCTTGTGACCTTCCTCTGGACCCACTCCAACAGGTCCATGTCTTTCCTGTGCTGAGGACTCCAGAGCTGGATGCAGTCAGTACTCCAGGTGAGGTCTCACCAGAGTGGAGTGGAGGGGCAGAATCACCTCTCTCCACCTGCTGACCACACTTATTTTGATTCAGCCCAGGATACAGTTGGCCTTCTGGGCTGTAAGTGCACATTGTTGGCTCATGTCCAGCTTTTCATTCACCAGTACCCCCCACTCCTCCTTCTGCAGGGCTGCTCTCAACCCCTTCATCCCCCAGCCTGTACTGATATCAGTGGTTGCCCTGTCCAGGTGCAGGACCTTGCACTTGGCCTTGTTGAACCTCATGAGGTTCACATGGGCCCACTTCTCAAGCTTGTCCAGGTCCCTCTGGATGGCATCCTGTCCCTCAGGCATGTGAACCACACCACTCAGCTTGGCATCATCTGCCAACTTGCTGAGGGTGCACTCAATCCCACTGCCTATGCCATTGACAAAGATATTAAACAGTACTGGTCCCAGTACAGATCCCTGAGGGATGCCACTTGTCACTGATCTCCACCTGGACATTGAGCCATGTCCTGGCTTCAGCTGGCATAAGAGTTGATTTTCTTCCTAGTAGCTGGCATAGTGCTGTGTTTTGGATTTAGTATGAGAATAATGCTGATACACACTAATGTTTTCGTTGTTGCTAAGTAGTGTTTACACTAAGTCAAGGACCTTTCAGCTTCCCACGCTCTGGCAGGTGCACAAGAAGCTGGGAGGGAGCATAGCCAGGATGCTATGACCAAAGGGCTATTCCATACCACATGATGCCATGCTTACTATATAAACTGGGGGGAGCTGGCCAGGGGGCAGCAATCACTGCTCAGGGACTGGCTGGGCATCAGTCAGTGGGTGGTGAGCAATTGCATTGTGCATCACTTGTTTTGTATATTCTTTTATCATTATTATTATTTTCTCTTCCTCTGCTGTCCTATTGAACTGCTTTTACCTCAACCCATGGGTTTTACTTTTTTTTTCTTTCTGACTCTCACCCCTATCCCACCAGGCAGGGGGGAGGGTTAGCAAGGCGCTGTGTGGTGCTTAGTTGCTGACTGTGGTTAAACCACAACAAGATGTTGACCACTACCCTCTGGATGCAACCATCCAACCAATTCCTTATCCACCGAACAGTCCACCCATTAAACCCGTATCTCCCCAATTTAGAGAGAAGGATGTTGTGGGGGATCATGTCAAAGGCTTTACAGAAGTCCAGATAGATGACATCCGTTGCTTTTCCCTTGTCCACTGATGCAGTCACTGAAAGCACTAGGTTGGTCAGGCAGGACTTGCCCTTGGTGAAGCCATGGCTGGCTGTCTCAAATCATCCCCCTGTCCTCCATGTGCCTTAGCATAACTTCTACGAGGATCTGTTCCATGATCTTCTCAGGCACAGAAGTGAAACTGACAGGTTGGTAGCTCCCAGGGTCCTCCTTTCTACCCTTTTTAAAAATGGGTGCAATGTTTCCCTTTTTCCAGTCACTGGGTACTTCACCTGACTGCCATGACTTTTCAAATATCATGGAGAGTGGCTTGGCATCTACATCAGCCAATTCACTCAGGACTCTAGAGTGCATCTCATCAGGTCCCACAGATGTACGTATGTTCAGGTTCATCAGGTGGTCACAAACCTGACCTTCCCCTACAGTGGGAGAGATTTTGCTCCCCCAGTCCCCAGCTCATGGTCCATCCACTCAAGAGGTGTGGGAAGAGAGGCGGTGAAAACAGAGGCAAAGAAGTTGTTGAGAGCCTCATCCTTCTCCTCATCCGTTGTTACCAGTTTGCCAGTCTTGCTCATCAAAGTGGGGTACGCTTTCTTTGACCTTCCTTTTCTGGCTGACATACCTGTAGAAGCCCTTCTTATTATTCTTTGCATCCCTTGCCAAGTTCAGTTCCAGCCACGCCTTGGCCTTCCTGACCCCATCTCTACACAACTGGGCAGCATTCCTGTGCTCTTCCCAGGATACCTGTCCCTGCTTCCACTGCCTGTGCATTTTCTTCTTGCCCTTTAGTTTGACCAGCATGTCTCAACTCATCCATGCCAGTCTCTTGCCTTCCTTTCCTGATTTCTTACACCCGGGTATTGAGAGCTCTTGCACTCTACGGCAAGCGTCCTTAAAGATCTGCCAGCTCTGTTCTGCTCCCTTGTCCCTGAGGGCAGGTTTCTATGGGGTCCTCCTGACTAAATCCTTGAAAAGCTGAAGTTGGCTTTCCTAAAATTCAGGGTCCTGGCTTTACTCTTCATCTGACCCTTATCCCTCAGGACTGTGAACTCCACCAGTGTATGACCACTGCAGCCCAGACTGCCTCCAACCTTGATGTCACCGACTAGCTCAGTTGCGTTGGTGACCAACAGGTCTACTATCGCATCCCCTCTGGTAGGACTGTCTATTACCTGGTTTAAGTACATAGTTCAAACTTCCTTTAAGGAAAGGAATTGTTAAAAAAAGAGAAAGGAGTCACAAAGTTTCTTTCTAGGAAGCACCACAGAACTAACAGGAGGAACACCACACCACCTCAAAGATAGTTTAAAGAAATATAAAACAGCTGTCCCTGCCTGCCTCCAAATCTCACACAGGCATGACAGCCTCAATTTCACAACAAAAGAATAACTCAAACAGTCAACTATGCAATCTGATGCATGTGCACAGACTTTCCTCAGGAGCCCAAGGTTGTTCTCTTCAGTAAGCACCATCACAAACTGATTCACAGGCTTTTTCAGAGCATGTTGAAAAAAAAAAAAATGAAGTCAAGTGATGTCAGTAACAAGCCATTTTCTAGTCCTTGGTAGCTTAACAAAGTAATTACAGTGGTAAGTTAAACAGAATGGGTCACAAATTCAAGTCCACCAAGAAAGTTTTTCCAAATGTCAGTCTTGCATGATATATGTACCTCTCTCCCCACAATTTGCATGTTATGCAATTTATAAATCAAAATATATTAATCCACCAAAAAAAATGTGTATCACAACTGATTAGAAGAGGCTCTATTTTCCTCTTTCCATGACTGTCTTAATTGCAGCAACTTTTTGTTAAAGTTAGGTAAGAGTTCAGGTGTCCTCTCCTTTTAAACTGTTGTGTTTTCAGACCCACAAACAACATAAGCTCTGTAATTAAAGCGATGGGTGTGCATTGTTATATCTCATCCTATTCCACAGTGGGCATACAGAAGTGATGTTTCTTGCTACCGTCCAATTATTTCTACTGTCTGCCTCTACCAAAAAGATTAAAAAAAAATTAATCACAGCCATTTGGGCTCCATTGAAAGTAAGTTCTTTAATCACAGCAGTTTCCAGGGTAATCAGTTTTTAATAAAGGAAAGGCAAAGATATCAGGTTGAGGTGAGATGGGATATATCTCAGCATCTGCTGTTTAAGGCCTACACTTCCTATTTCTAAATTAAAAGAACATGCCAGACTCCCTGAGTTATGGAAAAACCCTGTGAGCTGTGATCAAAATTTGTGCAATGCCCACCTAGAGTAACTAATCTTGCCAGGCTTAATCCCAGAAGGTTATTATTCTTCCTTTTTATTCCTTCTATTTTATTTTATTACAGAGACTAATCACTGTTAAAATGTAAAACACTCCATGCCTCAAGGTATACAAAACCCTCCTTCTCCATCATGTGCTCCACTGTCCGCCTCCATACAGAGTGGTTAACCAAAATAAACAACTGAACTTCCCTTGTCTGTTAATTACCTTCCTAAGCCTTCCTGCTTCATCTCGTCTGTTTTATGCTCCTCATAATCTACATAAAGCAGTCAGTATTCTTTCTCTACATGGATTTTGTAACAGAAAACAAAGGACCATGCTAAAGCTTCATGTCTGCTGTCAGTGGTGAACTTAAAACAGTTTTGAGTAAGTACAATACATCTATACAAATAAATACAATCTAAAAGTCAACCAATCAAGAGAGACTACCTACTCCACCCCACAGCCAATACAAATACACCTTGCAGAAAAAAAGAAATCTCATCTTTAAATGATTCAGTTAACACTAGTCCTTCCTGTTCAGCCAAAATTTTGTTC